AGAAATCGCACTAGATAAACTTAGTTAACTGGAAGCCTTGAAGCGTTCCACTTTGAAATACTAGACCATATTCAGCCGAGATTCCATTCACGATCAATGATTTGTATTGTGATTTATCAAATTGGTATGTCCTTTCAAGTTCCATTAATGAAATCACTGGGCATTATTGGATTTCGCGATTATCCAACCGAGGGACAACATATGTACCTACAGTTCAAATAAGACATCGATACATCGATTTATTTACAATATTTTTCAGTGGCGCCTTTGTCAATAAGTATTTACCCTTTGAGGTTAATAAATATTAGAGATTAATACAAAACCATTTTTTTTAAGTAGAGAATAAATAAACGTAATACAGATGACGCAGTTTTCTTAAGCAGTCTTCAAGTTTAATAAAAACTACTGTTTTTCATGGTCCATACAACATTTTGTGTAGTCTAAGCTGTGTTAGTATTTTAGTAATGAATATAAAACAATCAATACTAAGGTTTGTTTCCGTGTTTTCTTTTTGTACGAAGGCTGCCTTCACTCTCTCTCTCTTCTTCAATAGTTCTTCTTCCATCGTAATAATCATCAAAAGTCGTGTTTATTGCTGTTTTACAAAAGCTAACAGCGGCAAAATAATGAATAACACAGCTAGAAAACAAACATCCGAAGTATTTACATTATCTTTTTTGTCGTTCATTAATAAATACTCGTATTTACTTGAGATCATCTTGAGACACGAATTAGAAATCTCTATTATGCCATACAGTAGATTTCTATTTGTATAACGGTTGTCCTATTAAATCGAAAAGCTTGACTGCTTAGCATCAAGAATAGGTAGGGTTGTACATAATAATATGCGTTCTCATATTTATTCTATCAGTAATATTTATTTATATATTTATTTACACTAAATTATGTATTCATTGTGGAAGCTGTTCGTAAGCGTGTTTTAAATATGTATGTAAGTATTTTGTTCGAAATAATTATAGGTAATAATTTCCAGTTTTCAAACTCTGGCATGGTCACAGTATATATTCACATATGATTCGATCGACAAGTAAACTGGACATCTAACCTATACGCTACGGACGCTACGTTTTATTAGAATCGTGTTTTAGTATGTGGTAGATTTTTATTGTAAACTTAAACAGAAACTATTATCCCATTGAAAGAATTACCACAAAAGTTCTTTGTTTTGATATAAAGTTTGTTATAGAAGAACATGCACTATCAAAGTCAATCAATCATCAATTCAATCAAAATCATCAATTTATAACTGGTATGATTGATGGAATTTTATGTTTTAACAGCTATTAGTGTTTGCAACAAAGATTCTATCTACATTAAAGCGATTGTAACTCGATAGTGTTACATTTAAATTGTTTGTTGTAGTTTAAAGTAATTATATGATTATGATAAACCACAGAATTCATTTACGGATACGCCTTGAAAAAGGCGCGCGAAGCACTTGCCCCGCAGAACGACTACCGACTAAATCCCATCGAGCTCCACCACACCGACTAGACGAAACTTACGGTACCGCGGTGCGCGCCGAAAGTCTCGCCTTAGCCGGTACCCGTACTAATGTTAAGACGGGATCTCATCCCCCGAAGAACCTCGTCTCGGGAGACACACCGTCAGCGGCGCACAGGAGCCACCTTGCACCGCTTCACCACCGGAACCACAGTAGACCTAGCTTCTGAATTATAATAACCTATATATGAATAAAAATAGTTGTATATTAATCTTCTATGTGTCGCAAAACTATACATTTTATTCTTAATCCCAAGTAGTTTGAATCAATAATTGGAACAATACTACAACAAAAATGTTGAATGTGTTTATTGTATTTGATGTCCAACTGTAATTGAATTTTGAGTTCGTTTGAATTTGAATAGTCAAAAATTGATTTGAATTTAATGTTGGTAGTAATCGGGCTTGGTACGTTAGATTAGTAACAATAACTATACGAAGCTACTAGTGGACTAATTACTAGTATTACTTGCTACAGCGATTCTTATACTACGTATTATTTATTATACTACACTTACAGTTATTGTGGGAACAAAACATTAGTAGCTTGGTATAGTTATTGTTAGCACTTCGGGGATCGTTTCTGTGATAGTACTATCAATGTACGATGAAGTGGTGCGCGAATAGTTCATAATTGATGTTTTTCGTAAGTCTAAAATGAACATGAATGAAGTCGTCGTGGCCTAAAGGATAAGACGTCCGGTGCATTCGGATCTAGCGATGCACCGATATTCGAATCCCGCAGGCGAATACCAATTTTTCTAATGAAATACGTACTTAACAATTGTTCACGATTGACTTCCACGGTGAAGGAATAACATCGTGTAATAAAAATCAAACCCGCAAAATTATAATTTGCGTAATTACTGGTGGTAGGACCTCTTTTGAGTCCGCACGGGTAGGTACCACCGCCCCGCCTATTTCTGCCGTGAAGCCGTTGTAACTATACTAAGACTTTAGAACTTATATCTCGAGGTGGGTGGGGCGCATTTACGTTGTAGATGTCTATGGGCTCCAGTAACCACTTAACACCAGGTGGGCTGTGAGCTCGTCCACACATCTAAGCAATAAAAAAAAAGTTTTTAATAAATACCACAAGTTTTGCTTTTGATATATTTGCTATAAATATCATTCAAAATAATATTTTGGGAACACTTCGTCAATATTAGTTGTTATGTGACAAGGAAAATCTGGTGGGTAGTGAAAATCTCTCGTTATATTTTCCACCTAAATACGCTTGTCGTAGACGCCCAGAACCACGTGCATCCTCCAAACATTCTCTTCATTAAGTTATTTTTACACGAATGACTTATTTTATTCTTGCCTTGTTGATTCTGCACAGCTTAACATTTCGAAATATCTTATTTAATAAATAAGATATTTTTTCAGATTTTCGTTATTTGATAGTTTAAAACAAACAAGACAAAGTTAATTTCTTGTTGCTGACCTTTGAATGTCGTCAAATATTTTCGGCAACATATCGCGAGACGACAGGCGTGCTACGCGCGGAAATGTCGCGCGGACAAGAATAGCAGCTACGTCGGCAAGCATGAGGTATGACGTCACACGAGACACGTCAACCGATGCGCGTGCTCAACTTTTTCAATGTCTCTCTTCAAAATAATTAATATGTTATTAGAAAATCAAGACACTCAAACTATTATGCCACTGAAGAGAGAAACGTAGGTGCTAAAACGACTGAATTAGAACAATATAAGAGTATATTAAAGATGTTTTAGTGTTCTACTATTTAAATTCTATATTACTACCAAATCAAACCCGCAAAATTATAATTTGCGTAATTACTGGTGGTAGGACCTCTTGTGAGTCCGCACGGGTAGGTACCACCGCCCCGCCTATTTCTGCCGTGGAGCAGTAATGCGTTTCGGTTTGAAGGGTGGGGAAGCCGTTGTAACTATACTGAGACCTTAGAGCCTATATCTCAAGGTGTGTGGCACATTTACGTTGTAGATGTCTATGGGTTCCAGTAACCACTTAATACCAGGTGGGCTGGTGAGCTCGTCCACACAACTAGGCAATATATAATTCAACACTGATTAATATGCCTTTGCTGTTCTGTAATTTAAAGTGGAGCACCCACTAACAAAGGGACAGACAATTTAATAAACCTAGCACGGCTGAATGCAACGCGCTTCGAAGTGTACACTGATGGTATATATTATGATATGTTCGACTATTGATCAAGTAATACAGACTAGAGGTCCCGCATTATTCGAAATTCGACTATAAAATTGATTGGAATTGTAAGTTTGTACACTATTATGATTGTAATTTATACTTCTATAATCACAAATTTCGCCAAGGCTATACTATAAAAAAATATTAATAAAGACAAACAATATTTAATCTATTCTCAATTTGACCACAGACGTCAAGAACAAAAGTTTGACAATAAAATAAATAGCAGTGTGTGTAATGTTTTCTTTATTGATTTAATGTATCTTTTACGCATTATTTTAAAAAAATATTTGCATTGTGCATTTCTTCTCTATATTCTCTATAAGATTTAAGTAATTTCATACTCCTCCGTCCCCGCAATTTTCGTAAAAAGGGATACAAAGTTTTTGCTTCACGTATTAATATATAGATTAGCGAATCCAGCCTTCTCCTATTCCTATAACTTTCAATAGTAGTATAATAATTATATTATCCGATTCAATTTTTTCCGTGGACTAAGAGGCATTTATTTCATAAGTCTATACTAAAGGCTCCGGTTTGGGATTAGTTGGAATAGCCCCTTAAGCTACCAACGGTTAAGTAGGGAAAAAGAAACTAAACACATTCACAAAAAAACTATTGGACCCGGTCAATGTGTCGAAAACATGATGATTTAATTTTCTTATTCTGACGCTCCTATCAATAAAGAAGCGAGAGAGCAATAGAAAAAAGAACGTAAATGAACTCGTCTATTCTTCTGAGATGATTATTATTTGAAGTAGTAGAGTGTAGAGCGTACTTTTAGTTTGCATAGTTTGTCACCGCCAAAATACATTCATACATAATAACACCTATGATTGGCCTAGTAACAGTTAAGCTGGTTTTATTAATAATTCGGCTTTTATTAATAATCGTTATACTACAATGACTGGTTTGTCCAAAAGGCGTATAAAAGGATCCTTTATGAATACACCACTCGATCAAATAGTTCATGCTTCTTCTATCGTACATCGATGGTACTATGCCAGAAACCTCCCCGAAAATACCAAGAAACCCCGTTAAAAGTTTCACCGTAAACAAATTATTAGTATATAAATCGTTACCTTAGAAACAAATAACCAAACAATTATTTATTTAATGAAATCAAATTAAAATTAAAAGTAATAGCCGAGGCTGACCGATTTAACTAGGTTAATTAAGGAAACAGTATATTGGCGATAAATCGAAATTACAGTGATCTTTTGAGTGCATCGGTTTTGCATTGGAGCGCCGAGGGTTGGCAGACAGCAGTGGCAGTACTGACTACGGAGTCGGCAGTCCTACGTCGACCCGCGTGCACGCCGCCCGCCGCGCAGTGTCGTGTCGCGCCCTGGCACGCGCCTTCCAACCCCAATGGACTACGATCGACCAAACGAATTAACTTATTTTTCAATTACTTCTATAATACACTTCAACTCTCCCGATAGAACCTATCGAACGAATCACGCGACCCTAGTATGACTGAAACTCAATTTCGAAAACTTTTACCGACTTTCGATAATTAGTGTTTTAATTATCCATTGTAGTGAACGATTTCAAACTTTTTTGGTTTTTTTCTATTCAAATATGTATCTTAAAGAGGAGTTGTTGAGAACCCTATTTACACATAAGAAGCGACTGAAGTTTTTTTCTTGAACATTTTACCCGTTTCATGAACTATTTACAAAATTTGTGGTTTCGTTTTCTTCCCTAAGAACCTTTTAGAACCCTCTACTATTTCTAGTAATACGAGTGTGCTGAATTTAAATCCATAAACAACTTTAATCTGTGTAGTCGTTAGCGTAAAATTATAAGTAAAGTGGTTTTAAAGGCGTTAAAACTGTGTCAGTTTCTTTGAATCTTAACCAGCAGTGTGGTAGTGGATCATTGTACCCTTCGAATATTCCATTAAACTGGTAAGTATCAGAAATTAAAAATAAAAGGATTTTATATTACCCATGTTCAACTATAAATGTTTTTCAAAACGGTTAGGCTAAGGAAAGAATTTGCAATTCAAATAAAACGCTTTGTTGATGTCCGTTTAAAAATGATAGTCATAGTCGATTTAGTTGATGTCCGTTTAAAAATTATAGTCAAAGTCGATTTAGTTGATGTCCGTTTAAAAATTATAGTCATAGTCGATTTAGTTGATGTCCGTTTAAAAATTATAGTCATAGTCGATTTAGTTGATGTCCTTTTTAAAATGATAGTCATAGTCGATTTCAAATCGGAATGAAACGAAATAATTCTAAGGATTTCTTTACAAAATCACGAAACTGAATAACATTGAAGAATCATTGAAAATAAACTTTCTAATACTAGCTTGTGTTCTAGTTTTATTTTAAAATAATGAGGACGAGAACGTTTAACGACATAATGCAAAACGTTAGTGTAATGTTTTTCGGTGCGATCAGGATTACTGTAATGTTATTACAGAACGTGTTACGTTGTATCGTATATAACGACTTTATAATTATAGGACGCTAATATCTTGTGCCAAGTCCAATGACATCGTGCAGTATTTATAAAATTATTATACAATGCCAACCGCCTTCCTTATAGTTAAAGACTTTGACTCATCAACGTTGTGTGAAAAATATTTCAATGTAATCCAAAACTGTCGACTTAATTAATTCTGCAAGTATATACAATTGTATCTTATATATTTTTTCTTATAGAAAATATATATTGTGTAAGTAAAACACAGTCTAATGATGTCCATACGACTATCTTTATACCATTATTAATATTTAGTTTCTTAATAGTGAAACTTTCGGTCAAGTTAGCTCACAAGTGAGCTCAGTGTAGTTAATTAATAATTTTGAGAGTACCGTCTTGTTCCGATGTACTTACATATTTCAACTACACATATCCCATTTATTCACTATTCTATTTACAACCATACATATAGTTTACAGCTTATTTCATCATTTATTTCAACTATAAATATTACTCATATTAGAAAAATCAAGCCCAACATTGAGGATTATTTCAAAACTTTGTTCGGAGAAAATTCTAAAACTTTTAACTTATAGTTAAGAACTACAGCTAATTTTTGTTACCGATAAAGAAAGAGAAACATTCAATAGAACACCAAATATTTTATTCCTGAAAGTAAAATCCTAAGCCTCGTCTCTTAAAATGACCCTTAAACAGTAAATTATCTACCGCCCAACTCAAGACGTAAAAAATTTAGGAACAAAGTAACAAAAATATATTCTTGTAAAAACTTTGGAAATAGGAAAATCCTCGAGAATCTACTCAAAGTGATAACTTCCATTTAAGTCCGAGCAGCGCACATTTTTTAGGACAAATAAATTATTCAGAATTTTAAGGGCTAGCTAAACAAAGGACTAGATAAATTTACTTAAGAAAACTGAAAGCAACTCTATGTGAGCTACATGTGAAAATTAAATGATGTCTTATCACTTTCGCTAGATTAGAATGTCTTACAAAACATGTAAGTTTTGAATGAAATATATCCTCACACACTCTAGCTCATAACGAATATAACTATGTTCGTAATTTCAGACGAAGCGTAATCTAATATCACAGCTGCAATAGAGCGGTTTCAATGGATCTTTAATCTAATTATTACTAAATTGACATTTTGATGGCTATTACGAGTATGTACGCTATTATGCACGATGGGCAAACAAGATCAAAATTTCGCACTTCCAGAGTTGGTTTATTTTCCGTGATCATGTCCGCATTGACTGACTCACTAGAGCAGTAGTTAGCCCTCCTGACCTCTCGGCCAAGGGTCATGGGTTTCATTCCTACATAGGGCGAACGTTCTTATGATGAACAGGTTAGTTCGCTTTTTATCTATATATTATATATTAACCACATAAACCACATATACATAATAACGGGAATGCTGCCTACCACCACGAGACATTAGGTCTGTCACATTTCCATAGTATAACGGTTGTTCCATTCTTCAAACTGAATTATTGCTTTGCGACAGAAAAAGGCAGGTAGTAGCAGAGTAACAAGATGTCCTACCACTAGTAATTACGAAAATTTTGAGAATTTGGTCTCTAATGTTACTCTCTGATCGTATTACGCATTTTATTAGGAAGATTGGTATCCGCCATGCCTGCGAGATTTGAATACCAGCATTGTTGCATTATTAAATACGAATAAAACCGGCGTCTGATCCTTTAGGCCACGATGACTTCAAAACGAACTTTGTTTGATTGATTAAACTGATTAACACGCGAAGATAAATACAAACAAACAGCCCTTCACGTCCTATGGGAATGCAGTATCTGGCAGAATGAATGCTAAATTATTCAAACGTTGAATCTGATGTCATTTGTTATATCCAAGACAAATTAGCTTTCCCTCAGACTACCTGAACTACATCATTCAAAGTATTTGTTGCGAGGTTGCCGCTGTGGATTCTGGCTTACCAGAACTTACAGTCGTGGGAGTGATTATGAAGCAAATACCAGAAAAAATCTGAATATTGCCCTTCCATTTTGAGTTTTCTGTTTGAAGATTAGATCAGGGACGGACTTCTCAACTACTACTACTACATAATTCGCTGTCACTGAGTGGAAGTGCTTCCACTTTAAGATGAGATAGAACTTAACCAAGAGAGGTGGGGATAACGTGAAGTTTTTTTTGCACAGAACCCATTGAAGTTTTTTGCACAGAACCCTACTGACAGTGCACATGCGATTGGTGGAGCCACAAACACCGGTCCGTTCAGTCGGCATACAGACTATCAGGTGCCACCGAGATGATAGCACCAACTACTTGCCTCAGAATTTCCCTTTGGGCGAAAAACATTGAATTGAAACAATGAAAACATTGATTCTAAGGTTCTAGAAAAAATATTCAAGAAACACGTCATCTTCATGGACCTTGACTGTCACTAGGCTGGTGTACCAAGTGCAATCTTAGCTCCGTGCCAGTATTTGGCCCCGGCTTGACGGTAATGGGTCGATGAAGAGAGATAAGATCGGTTTGTCACTCACCGAAGTCAAGCATCGTACGTCAGGACTCGTTTCTATCGAGATTCGCAGCTATGACACTCGGTAGTGACATTCGGTTCCAATTTGTGCGACGAGGACAGGGCGTGTTCAGTCGAGACCAAACCCCATACACAAAATTTTGACCTTATAAAATGAAAAAAATAATTAATTAACTATTTTCAGCTAAGCTCATATTGGATAGCTTTTATAGTTTTCGTTCTTAATTCTAATTAAATGATAGTTAAGTTATCTATACGTAAAATGTCCAATACCATTAACACATAATAACAAGCTCTATATAGGTAAAGCGGATTCTCGATTAAAGTAATTAAGAAGTTGGCTACGTCGAAACCTTTATTTTCGCATCTCGAATCCCCGATTATATTGTGTTACAGTTTCTGAGTGAAATATGTAATATAACATTTATTTATATGTTGTATTTGTATGTAATGGCTACTTAAATTTGGTATTTACTGGATTTCATAAGAATTAGGGCTTTGAGTGTTTACTTCTCGACCTTTTTTAACTAGCGTGCTATGTATTTGAGGTTCGTTAAAGATTTCTGTAACTTAAAATGATACTCTGCTTCACTGGAATAAAGCACCATAAATCTATCGCAATGCGTCTTGGTCTTGCCTCGTGGAGTTGAGTAAAGGGTCTTAATCTCTAAGATATATATAAGAAAAAAATTTAAAGCACAGAAAAAGTGTTGTAAATTCGAGAGATTATAGATATTTTTTTTTTTTTTTTTTATTGCTTTGATGGGTGGACGAGCTCACAGCCCACCTGATGTTAAGTGGTTACTGGAGCCCATAGACATCTACAACGTAAATGCGCCACCCACCTTGAGATATAAGTTGTAAGGTCTCAGTATAGTTACAACGGCTACCCCACCCTTCGAACCGAAACGCATTACTGCTTCACGGCAGAAATAGGCAGGGCGGTGGTACCTACCCGCGCGGACTCACAACAGGTCCTACCACCAGTAATTACGCAAATTATAATTTTGCGGGTTTCACTTTTATTACACGATGTTATTCCTTCACCGTGGAAGTCAATCGTGAACATTTGTTGAGTACTTATTTCATTAGAAAAATTGGTACCCGCCTGCGGGATTCGAACACCGGTGCATCGCTTCAACACAAATGCACCGAACGTCTTATCTTTTAGGCCACGACGACTTCAAAATATAGATATAGAGATACGGTAAATAATCAGGCGTGATAGGGAAACTGTAGCATCGGAAATAAAGATTGACGGGTAGGATAATACAATTATAGATGAATTAGTAGGAATAGAAGGATCCTGGTTGAGCTGACATTCCCAAATTTCGCGAGTAAGAGCCTCGATTTGAATTACAGGATAGTTATTTTTTTTAATGGAAAATAGGCCAACTTTCGAAGAGTGAAAACCCAAAAGCAAAAACTTCATACTTAGTATTACCTCATCTGTACGCTGTACAAGCAAACGTTAATGAGATTTAACGGAATAAACTTTGACAAGTGAAATAAGTTCTAACCCCGAACAAACTGAAACAGCCCGTCGTGATTACCTCAAATTAAAACTAGCTACATTACAGCGGTGACAAGTTTACCAGTTGTGTTTCAGAGAAATTACGCTATCTGCAATCTCTTCTTCTTGAATTTTCTTGGTGCAGTCGTTTGACTGTGTCTTTCCATCTATAGTACAGATTTGTACATTTTTTGGAACTTCGTCCTCTTAGCCTCTTCACAGCAATCAGGAATAATTGACTGAAAAGTCACCATTGGACACTGAAAGTTTCTATGCAATAATAGTGTAATAATAAATAATTCTATAAAGTGTAGAATACGGTGTAGGTACACAGTGGAAAGCCTGGTAATTTGAACTAGGAGTTAAACAAAAAACTGACAATTAATTGATAGACTGGAGTAGAGGCTAATGATGTGAGT